AGTAATTCGAATTGCAATGAGTTTCAAGTTGCTACAACGAAATGCACTTTGACTAGGATCAACACTTCGGTATTACTTTGGACCTAACTAAATTGATCTTTCAATGTATTATATTTAAAAGAAAATACTGTTATTAGAGAAAGTATTATTAGATATTAATTAAAAAAATAAATAAATAATAAATTTATATAGAGAAAATATAAAACAAACCGCGAAATTCATTTCGTAGAAATTCTCTCGTTCGAGTATTCTTCGTAAATTATTAAATTGATCATCAAATATATTTATGCATATAATAAAAAAAAAAAAAAAATAGTAATAAAAATGCATCCACGCACCGATATTGCATACCCAAGTAATGACCTTAAAAAAAAAAAAAATGGAAAAAGCTTAAAATAGATAGATGGAAGAATTACAAAAAGAAAAAAAAAGAAAAAAAGGAACGCCAGAACCAAGGATTTGAATAGAAAATATCAGAAGGTTATTAATATTTCTCGTTTTACATAGGATCGATTAATAGTAAGATAATCGTTTTTCAACCTCAGCATCCTCTTCCCTATTATCACTTCTTTTTATACTACTACCACCACCCCTTTCCTTTTCCCGAAACCCCAATGGATCGTTTTATTTTCTCAAAACACGATATAACAGGGTGAAGTGGGCGGCCGGCAACTTCGAACCCTTTGTTTTTCTCCCCACTTGTTACGAAACCGATCGATGCCAATCTAGTTTATATGGTTTTCATTTATAGTTCGACGAATTTAATTGCACAAGGGTCTCAGAGAGAGAGAGAGAGAGAGAGAGAGAGAGAGAGAGAGAGAGAAAAAAAATAAAAAAAGAAGAAGTATAGGTGGTGGAAGATGAAAATGGAAGAGAACGAGTAAAAAGAAAATTTCAACGAAAGTGGTAGGATGGGGTGGGATGGGGTGGGGTGGGGAGTTATTACACGTTCATCCCACTTTTGTTTCAATAAATATCGTTCATAAAAATAAAGGACAAGTGACATTCCACACTACTCTTGCTTGCTTATTTGGTTTATTGGTTGGTTGGTTGCTTTTATTGATTCGTAGGATATCCTATCGAAGGCTTCTGATTGCGTTACTTGCTCGAGCAAAGGAATAAAACAACAAAAATATCATACGTAGTGATTCGACGAAGGAAAGGGAATATTTAAATCAAATAAATAAAGATGGATGATCATGATCGAAATCAAATGAAACCTATTGGATAAGGGCTTCGAGAAAAATGAAGAAATTCGAGAAATTTTTGTTAAACTCTTTGCAAAATCATAATAATAATAATAATAATAATAATAATAATATAACAAGTGATTAAAACAATTTTAATATCCACGTATAGAACGTTCTAATGAGAAATTAAAATTAAAACGCGAGAGGGTTGTTTTCTTTTTTCTTAATATACGAAGACAAGTTAAGAAATTTGAAGTATGAAGTTTTGAAAAATAAAAAAAAAAAAAGAAAGAAATAAATAAATAAGTAAATAAAAAAAAAGAAAGAAAAAAGGAGAGAAAAAAACGTATGAATTTTCGATAAACGCACGATAGTCGTTTATATTAACCTCGTGGCATTGCATATTGACGAGGTGATACGCGTTTAGAATAATCGTCGAAGAAAAAACGTATTGCACTTTTCGAGCATCCCTATCTTCTTCTTTTTCCAATCAATGATGGGGTAGAAGGAGAGAACAAGCATCTAAATTGGTTAATCGAACAGTCAACGTGATTCGCATAACCGAATATCAGTCGATCTTTTACACGCATATATGTACATATACATCGATAAACTTTTATACAAAAAAATCCCCTTCCTTTCTTCTATTTTACCCTTTTCCTTTTAATTGTCTCTCTTTTTTTTTTTTTCATTTATTTATATTTCATTCGCACACACGTACGGCGCGTATTACACGGATGCAAATTGCGCTGGTGAAAAAATTCAAGAAAACACAGAGGGAAGAAAAAAAAAAAACAAACACATTTATACAAAACGCATGCATGCACGCACGCACGCACGCACACACGCGCTCATAGAAAACATTTACCCATTCCTATTTCTCTTTACACGAATCCGACGTTTATATTCGTTCCTTTTCGCGCAATTACAATTTAAACGATCGAATACGACGTGTCCGTCAAAGTTTCGAAAAAAAACCGAACAAAAGAATATAAAAGGAAAAATCGTGATTCGTCGTTGTAGCACATTCGAAACCATCGGTACACGACTTACCACCACAATACCTCTCTTTCTTTCTTCCCCACCCCCTACCCCTACTCTTTATAGTTCGTCACACTTTCAAGAAAAACCCATGAATTTCTTTCTATCCTACGTTTTTTTCTAAACGAGCTTCCAGTTTCAATCGATTTTTTTGTTCTTTACATTTTTAAAAGAGAAATCATCGTAGATCGAATTTCTTTTAAATTAAATACTACGCTCGAAAAAAAACTCGTTACTTTACACGTGCACAGAGAGATAAATGTATAATACCATACCACACCATACCACACCGATGATTCATGCATGACTTTCCCATAAAATAATTTCTATCGCGTTTATTGATTTATGCACGGGGGTGGTTTTTTTCTTTTTTTTTCCCCCATCAAATCGTTTCTACCATTAGTGGTTAAAATGCATTAACACTCTTCGCGTGTAAAAATATAAAAATTAATAATATAATTTATATATATAAAAAAAATACATGTATATCTTTTACACACACGTATTATAGAGAAGCTTCTAACTAACTTCTAGTTTTCTATTTCTAGCTCTCATTTACACCCCCACCCACCCCGCCCCAACTTTCTAGTCGTCGTAATTAAACCAAACTACGTCTCTCTCTCTCTCTCTCTCTCTCTCTCTCTCTCTCTCTCTCTCTCTCTCTCTCTCTCTTTCTCTCTCGTGCTTCGAGCCAACGATTTGCAAAAAAGTTTGTCCGCGTTTTAAAAATTATATATGTTTGTCGGTATAATTAAATACAGTGAACAGGATTTTTTTTTCCACACGTCTCGTTATCGTATTCTCAACTACATTCCAACATTTTTACACATACGTGTACACTTAAGCAGTCCTTTATTCGTAGTTTAAACGAACCCTTAAAACTACACACACACATACTCTTTCTCTCTCTTTCTCTTTTTGCACAAACCCTTTTTACTACTGGCGAATCACAAGATCTTTAATATACTTAATTAAAAATCTACTTCCCTGCTCACACAGCGTTTATAAACTACGAAATTGAGCTTAACGTCGAATTAAGGGAAAACTACAACATACGGGAATAAAATCCTATTATAACAATCAAAGAAATTTCTGATTAATTTTATTAACATATCGTGCGACGGAAATAATATTTAAACAAGCGTCGTTACAACGCCAAGAAATATCCAATAGAAAAATTTACATGACTATGTTGAAATATTATATATATTTCAAAGAAAAAGAAAAATGAAAAATATATCAAAAACACACGATATATTCAATTACAAAGAATTTGATGTAATAGAAATAAAAGAAAATACATTCACGTGTGGGGGTGGGTAGTTGGGGAGAAGAATGCACGATATGCATTTTCACGAATACGATCAAGTATATAGAAACAACTAAGAAGAAGAAGAAGAAGAAGAAGAAAAAGAAGAAGGAAGAAAAAAAATATAAAAAGATAAGAATAAGAAGAATAAGAAGAAGGAAGTGAACCGAGCCTTGTAGCGAGGCAATCGTCATTCAAGAACTGGAAACAATAGGCATTTCTACTGTTCAAGTGCATTCATCCGAGTATACTTTTCCTGCAATCTTACGTGATTCGTAATAGTCGAGTATGCCTCGTAGAAAAAGATGATAGAAAATTTGAAAGATACTTTATTTATAAGTAGACTGATACCTAGATTGGATACGTACAAAAATACGAGATGAGATAAACAAAAACAAAAACAAAAAATAAATAACAAAGAAAAGAAAAGAAAAGAAAAGAGAAAAGAAAAATCTGATTAAAAGGACGAGAGTCCTGACGGTGCACAAGTTAAAGGCCCCCGGCCCCTAAAATTCAGGATATCGAACGAACAAAAAAAATACAAAAAAAGAAGAAGAAGAAGGGACAGATAAATGGATAAAGAAGGAAAGAAGAGTAGGCGTATACGAAAAAAGTATAAAAATCCTGACTTAATAAAGAGCAGCCATTATAGCGGCGAACCGTGGCCATTGTTCATAAGGGGTGTAGGGGTTGCTTGCTTGAACGGGGGGTGGGGAAAAAAGTGCTTAGTGAAAATTAGCAGCAATTAAGTTGCCATACCTCCTTTAGGCAGAAAATTTTGTTAAAATGCCACACGCATACACGTACACGTAAACACAGAGTAATTTTACGATTACACAAGTTGATAGGATAAACGTTATCTAATACACATTGTAAGAAAAGCACCCCGAAAACTTGTCCTTATCCATTTTCTTTCGTATATTCCAAGAAGATACTTGAATATTTAAACTCTCCGAATATCTTGGTTAATGAGTTCCGGCTCCTGTTCTAATTAGAATTTGTTAAGAGGTTAGTTAGGATTTTTTCGCTCGGAAAGAAAGAAATAAAAAAAAAAAAATAAAAAGAAAAAAGAAGGGGAGAGAGGAAATGGTTTAAACATTGAGGGATTCTTCTTTTATTTTCCTTTCTTTTTTTTTTTTGTGTTTCTTGGAAAATAGGAAAGAGATATAAGGGTGGTATATTTGACGAGCTTATATTTATCGATCTTTTAAGATATAATGCGTGTTAATTTTTAATCGTAAAATATTTGATATCAGTTTCTCTCATCAAGAGTGTGGTGTACATCTAGTTTTAAATATTTATAACTTTTATAATTTTGAAGATATTTTTAAATATAATATCTCGAAAAAAAAAATAAGAGAAATATTAACGCGTATATATATAATATATATAAAAGAAATAAATTGTTATTATAATATAATGAAATATAAATCGGAATACTTGAAAAAAAAAAAACTCACCATCGATATCAATCTCTTGCAGCATAGTGTTCAATTCCTCAGCTCTTGCGAATTGTCCCAAAGAACGCATTACCCTTCCGAGTTCTTCTTTCGTGATATTACCATCCCCGTCTTTATCGAAGAGATTAAATGCCTCTTTAAATTCTGTGAAAAAGCATTTATATGAAATATTAAATACCATTCGATTATAAATTCTATCAAAGTTTTCAAACGAATTCATTTTGATTAACGTCCAATTAAATGAACCATGATAATCATATATTAATTCAAGTCGAGAATGAAAAAAAAAAACAATAAAACGATTTGAAAATAATCGAAAAGTCATTGAACAATGGTTTACACCCCCCTTCTCCAACTTTAGCCACCCCTTAACGTTTCAACTTTTCAGACAAGTTCATTCTTTCGAATAGAACTAGAAAGAAGAAAAGGGAAATGATTGTTATACGAGTATCATTTATTCACGTAAATTAATGCAAATTGTTTCGTAAAACTAATTACAATTAGATTGTGTGTGTGTGTTCACCCATTGTTAAATAACAAAAATAAGTAAATCAATATTAAATTGAAACGTATGATATAACACTTTTTCTATCCAACTAATTTGATTTCCACGATATTCGAAAACAAATTCACGAGATCTGTTTAACGTATCAACCTCGAGTGGGTATTCCCCCTTCTTCCCCCTTTTCAACCCCTTCTCACCCCCTGTTGCCTTGAATTTGATCGAATACAGGAGAGAATACCAGAACAGCTTGGGGTTGTTGCCCGAAGCGAATTTTCGACTAAGAGCAACTGGATTCGGATCGTCGAGGCTCGAGTCAACCGTTTAATGGCCTTGTTTCATGAACCATTGACTTTATACGTATCCTACCTAGAAGATATGTGTATACAGGTATACAGAGTGATTCACGAATATGTGATACAGTAGAGAGATTATTAATGTCATTCAAAATCCTATCGAAAATATTTTAATCAATTGTGTTGCATGATTTCTGGAGAAAAAAAGCTTTAAAAAAACAAAAAAAATGGATTACACACTTTTATTAATAATTAATAATAATTGAAATCATTTTTATAGTAGATCACGATACGTGAATCATCCTATATACTATAGGATTATAGCTATTCAACTATGGGGATATATATTTTATCTCATAATCGATATAGTTATATCCTTTTTTTTTTTCTTCTTCTTCTTCTTCTTCTTATTTTTTATGGGAATCTTTTATTTTATCTTCAAGAACATTGTCTATACGTATCATCAATTTTATATGGAATATTATCGTTCATAGTTCCGTCCATGAGGTTGACACTCAAGTGGGAATCTCTCTCTCTCATCGCCATTTTCTTATCATACCAATCGATTGAACGAAAAAAAAAAAAAAAAACAACTAATGAATAAATTTTCTTCGACAAGATAATTGGAGAATATTCATATACGATGATATTTTATCTTTGTCTATTATTATTTCTATTGGGTTATTCATTAAACTTTATTTTTCATTAAAACTTTATGGATAAAAAATGATTGGTGTATTGTATCATTAAATTTTAACTTAATTTTTGTCACCGAAAGTCATATATAAAGAAAAAACAAATTTAATATCTTTCTTAAACATATTTTATGTAAACTCTGCATCTATAGAAAAATTTTGCTGATTATTAGAATGTGGTATGTTGATTAAATGTTTTTATCATACTGTAGTAGTATGCACTTTGTAATACTCGTATTGTATTACACAAAATTTCAGTATAATTTCTGCTTATGTTTCTTTGTAAATCTACGATTGTAATATGTATTGTTTTATTATATTATTATTATTATTATTATTATTATAATTATTATTGTTATATCGAAACAACTAACTACAATCAGATTTCAGTGTTACAAAGCACCTGATATTTTGTAATAAAGATATACAACGTATACTCGGTGAGTTAACGAGTTCACACAGATACTCTTATTGCCTGTGGGAATAAAGTATACACATACATACATTTATACATACATACATAGATGCATATGATTCTCGTATAGCACGGGAATGAAGAGATGAAGTAACTCCTTTCAACAGTCTAATCTCGAACGAACGTCATTGCTCATTCACGAAGACTTCTCTAGAGATTATCATGTAACAACAAAAGAAAGAAAAAGAGAAGAAGAAAATAAAAAATACAACATTGTTTTAGCAAATAAGAATTCTCAATAAACTTTAATCGAATTTTGTAATATCGTCCCACAAGCAATACAAAAATATAATACTTATACAGATAAAAGAAAACTTCATCTGGAATAATTTTCATTGTTTAACAATTTGTTCAAGTTCGTATTAACTGTAACAATTAATTCATTCAACGACTTGATATTCAATTAATTATAATTCTTAAATCACATCGAAAATAATTTACCAAAAATTGTTTGAAAAGGTGTATCAAATTAATATACCACACTTGTAATATACACATATAAAAAAGTAAAGTAAAGTATACCAACGTAGAAGTTAAAAAGAAAAAAAGAAAATGAAAATGTAAGTAACGTGAAACACGCGTGTTTAACAAATGTCAGAATAGAATTTTCATTTTTCTTCCAAGTCATGTTGATCTTTACTTACAAAAATTATGCACTTATCTAATACCATTTGAACTGAAATAGAATTTTTTTAAATTGCAAATTCTTTTTATAATATATTGAAAAAATAAAAGAAGAGTTTTACCAAATTAGAGAACTATTATTATTATTATTATTATTTCCCATAGAGGTTTTGTATTCTATACGACATAGTTCCGATACCGATCAATGAGAGGAGGGTGTTGATGACGCTGAAAATTCAATCGGTGATTTAAACGATTACCTGTATAGGTATTTCCAAGAGTGTGTGCATTTGTATCACGGGAACTACTCATTCACACAAAGCGTACAAATTTAAACGAATTGAAAGTAAAATGAATTCTCACTCTCTCTCTCTCTCTCTATCTCTCTATCTCTAGATCATTTGTAAATGAATTGTTAATTCTTACTAAATCAACGATATCTCTCAACCGTTCCAAGAGAAATTAAATTCGTCGTAAATTCTAAAGCAGAGACCCCCATTCTCAACTTGTTCCGTTTTAAATGATAATCGTTTATAATTTCATTTTCTCAAGGCATGCAATACTACACACATACATATATAATATACGTACGCATTGTTAACATTTAAACGATTTTATTGATCGCATGTCGAGCATTTTATTATTTTATATTTTTTTGATATTTAATCGAATAATATTTTAATAGCTTTCAACGCGAGAGAACGTCGTAAGACACTTTAATCGATAAAATAATTACAAAATCTACGAGGATAATATATGTTTAATTAAATTTCACATGGGACACAACATTTTGTCAAAAATTTTTTTTCTCTCTCTCTCTCTTTTTTCTACTTGACAAATTTATTATCAGATTATATATATATATATATATATTTGAAAGAAAAAAAGAATATTTTTCCTTTATTCTAATATCGTTTAAATAGTATTCGATAAGAAGTGCATAATTATTTAAGTAAAAATCAACATAACTTAAAAGAAAAAATGAAAATTCTTATTCTGACATTTGTTTAACACGCGTTTCACGTTACTCTTACATTTTCATTATATCCGTGCACAAAAATTCGGATTTTCACATAGTTTTTTTTAGGTTAAAACACAAAAACTGGTATATAATCTCGACTGAACATGTTTTTCTCAACTTGAAGGTTCAATTAAATTTATGACTTTAGGTTTTACGACCCAATCGAAGTCCAACTAAATGAAAAAGATATTACTGAAATAAAGAAAACGTGAAAGAAAGAAGATTAAAGACACACAGAGAGAGAGAGAGAGAGAGAGAGAGAGAGAGAGAGAGAGAGAGAGAAAGGTATAATGAAACTGCATTTACCATTAAACCGACAAGAATAATCGAGATACGTAAGGTGGTATAATAAAATCGATGACTCGAAACGCAATAATATCGTAATGCAGTACTTCCGTTTAACGATACTAAACGTGATCAATTTTCAATAATAATTACCACCCGATAACCAATGTCCGATTGAGTGGAATGACGAATCCACAAAATCCTATCGATTGGAATGGAATATTCGCCACATTCATGAGTTAAAAGAGAATTAAAAAAAAAAGAAAAAAAAACAAGAAATTCAATGGTAACTCATAAATCCAATTGTAAGTAATTGATCGACTATGAAACAACGTATTTGAAATACATCGCGTATGAGAAACTAATCGTTGCAACGAATAAGCTAAAATATAATAATTATAGTTCATCTACAAAATCATTATTTTTTTTTTTTGAAGAAAACGTAGTAAAAATTATTAATTTGCATATATTCAATTTTTCGTATAACTAGTTGCAAATGATTCCAATGTATTAAATAAAAGGAAAAAAAAAAGAAAAAAATGTAATCAAAAGGAATTAGCCTTAGGGGTGCGATAAATCGTTGAAACGAGTTTTGGACATCTGTATAATCATGAAAAGGGTAGGATGAAGAAAGAAACACTCACCCCTCATCTGAGACTTCGTTATAGCGGTGATCTTTCTCGGCTGATTAGCCAATTTTTGTGGCGAAGCTGGAAATGACATGATAGCGGTGTTCGATGACAATTTCGAAGGGTCCTTCTTAGTCATCGGTAAAACAGCGGACGAGTAGGATGTCGAGGAGGAGGAGGAAGAGGAGGAAGGGAAAACCCCGTAAATCATTTTTCTTTCATCAATGTTATCATCCTCCCTCATTTTGTCATCCTGCACCTGATGGGATTTAACTTGAGATTGCAACACTTGGGATTGCAATTGTGATGATGATGATGATGATGATACTAGTTCCACCTGTGACTCCGTTGATACGTTACACGATACGATTCCATCATCTGGTTCCTTCGATAAGACGGATAATAGTGGTGACGTAATCGCTGATGTCGTTCTTGTCATCGTCGTCGTCATCGTCGTCGTTATCGTCGTCGCCATCGTCGTAGTGACGATTGTCGTCGTTTTTATTATCGACATCCTCGAAGGACATTCCCCTGTTTTTTCCTCCCCTCCAGTCTTCCCTACCACCCCACTATTCTGCCTCGTCTGCAAACAAAATATATTCCTATCGTTAGATTATTCGATTAGAATCGCTATTAGGATACATTTCAGCGTGTAAGATCATTCCTTTTTTTTTTTTTTTATTTTATTATGTCAAAACGATAGACGATATTATTTGAAAGAATTGTGAGACGATTGAAATCGATGCCATAAATGGATACCTTAAATATAAGTATAGAGTGTGTTAGAATATTAAAATAATTGTTAATTAATCGAAATAAATGTGTATTGTTTTTTAAAAGCACGGAGTATATGATCGGAGCACCGTCCTCCTCGAAATTCCCCTTGAGACTGAGTCTTTGTCATCTATGAAAGTTCTTTTATTAGATATTGTTTATCTGACTTTTCGAAAGTTGCGCATGTGTATAAAGGAAATAATGCACCTAATTAATCAAATTGAAGTTTAAAACGTTCTGATTTTAATATTTTTATCTATTTTATGTCATTATTTCACTGCTCCTACGCAGTGATGACTTCGACGGTAAAATTTTTCTGTAATATAAGTAGAATGCATTAGAGTATTAAAATAATTGTTAAATAATCAAAAGTTGTTTTAAAAACTTTTTAATTTTTAACTTTGTTAAAGTTTTTTTGTTAAATGTCGTTTATAAGAATTTCCTTAAAAGGAAATTCTATTTATTATGAATATTATTCTCTTTTATACGCATGCGTAACGTTCGAAAAGTTATGCAAAAAGCAATCAACAAAAGAATTTTAATCGCTTTTCATAAAGGATCTCGTGTCAGTCTAATGTAATGTAAAAAATTGTGTGTCATGTAAAATGAATATAATATATTACTTAAATAAGAGAGAAAATGGAATAAAAGAATAAAACCCTCTCTCGTGATCGGTTATATATAAAGAATAATAAAATATTAATATATATTATAAATTAGAATTTGTAGGGGAAATTGTAAAAGATTGCCAATACCACGAGAAGTCTTTGAATAAAAATTAACATTAATTAAAACGTTCCCTTTTAATTATATTCCTAGTCATATATCGTAAAATTCTCGTTTCGTTTATTACGAACTCTCTCATTCATTCATTGAATTTGACTTTTCGGGAAAACTTGTTAAAATCAATTTTCCTTTCATCTATTTATTATTTTTATACGCGAACAATTAAACGATGCATCTGTTTCCCAACAAAGATTTTTATTTAAACAAAATACTGTGTGAGCACATATACATATACATATATATATTTCATATTATCTTTTAACATATTGACAGAGTGTGTTAAATTACGATCTTCTTCCGTATTGAGAAAGATGAAAACTCATTCTCGCCCAATGACACGCGAAGTTTTGTTATGCATATTAATTGCTTTTATTGATGCACGATTTGCATATAAAAGAAAAGTTCGATATATATATATATATATATATATAAAAAAAAATAAAAAAAGAAAAACAAAGTATGTGAAAAATAAAAGTACAGTATATATTAAAGACTAATCATACCTTTTTTTTTCTTTTTATTTTTTCATTTTACAATGAACGATATATTATTGCATATTACTCGTATACTATACGTAATATATAAGATAGATAATATATTAATAGTTTGTCATAAAACAAAATTGACAACGTCAACGATAACTATTATCTTGATATGGGGGTGAGAAGGAAAATCGACATGAGAATGGTTATGTATACCAATATAAGAAGATAAATAACAAGGATAGATACTAGTCACGTAACAAGTCGATCGTGAAAGCAAATTAATCGTCAACGCGATCGTCACCGAAACAACGATCAACGTCGTTTGTTGAATCGAGTTAGGTATATATATATATATATTTATCGATCGATCGAATATCGATCCAAGTAAATCGAGTTCAAACGACGTGACCGGAAAGGTTGCACATCCTTTTAGTTGGACATGTAGGTGTTCTTTCGTTATCAGTACTCTGGCTGTTCTGTTTCCGTAAAAGATAAGTTTGTCAGAAGCTAGTTCGATCTAACGTTCTAAATAACCTGAACAACTCTAGTCTGAGATTGAACAACGTGAACAGGTAACCTATCTACAGGTACATACCCCATTTTCTTTATTATCCTAAATGATATTGGATTTTTAAACGATTCTTCTATGATTGTTCCATAGAAAAATAAATTTCATGATAAATCTACCGTATATTTCGTGACATTATGTTAGATAATAGATTTGTAATACTTATCGTATTAATAATAATTATGTTTAAACAACATAAATACGTTAAACAATTAATTTTAATAAAACAAACGAAAATTCATTATTTTCCTTTTTCTCATCCATTGTTTATTCTCACACAATTTCTATTATTATTATTATTAATACACGCCTACATTTATTTTATTTTTTTGTTGTATCTTCTCAGATGTGTCAGTAACAGAATAGAAGCTCTCGAAAAGTAACGATTTACATCCACACCCCTCCTACACCTCCTCTCCCCCCTCTGAACCCACGTTTTAATCCAATATCGACACATGCGAAGTTTTATCTTTTAAATAGAATGGAAAACAAAATGCAATAAAATCGATAGTAGAAAGAAACAAACCGAAACAAATATACTTTATAGGACCGATTTATCAAATTCTCAAGCAGTAATAATAGTAGTTTAACAGGAAGACGTTTCCGAGATTACGATCAATCTATTTTCATCAAGGACCTCTTTTAAACTTCTTTTATTCCCTACAGAGAAAATAATAAAAGTAAAGATGTAAAACTGTTAAAAAATATTTCCTATTTCTGATTATGTATCAATGGGTAATGTTCGTCAATGTTTCAATAAACAAATAAACTAATAATTACATCAGAGTTGCAATAATATAATTATGTGTATATATTATTTGATTATATGAAATATAAATAATATTATAATCATTCAATATGAAAATATACATTAGAAGATGGTTGCAGTTGCAGCTGCAGTTAAAAAGTTAAAAAAATTAATAATAAAAAAAAATGCAGTTGCAGTTGCAGTTGCATGTGCAGTTGCAGTTGCAKKTGCATGTGCAGTTGCAGTTGCAGTTGCATGTGCAGTTGCAGTTGCATGTGCATGTGCAGTTGCATGTGCATGTGCATGTGCAGTTGCAGTTGCAGTTGCATGTGCAGTTGCAGTTGCATGTGCATGTGCAGTTGCAGTTGCAGTTGCATGTGCAGTTGCAGTTGCAGTTGTAATTAAAGTAATGAATCTTCCTTTATTTAGATAAAAGAAACAAAAATTTAATAATTATCCAAATGATAATGATTTAAACTCACCAAAATAATATCTCACTAAACTAACTTGAACGAAAATCCTCCCCAATCATATTTCTACATATTCCCAAAAAAAAAGAAAATTAAAACTCGATCAAAGTAATAAAACGTCATCCCTTTTTTCCCCCACTTTCACTATTCCTCTTGTCCCATCAAACTTTCGTCGTAATAGGATCAAATAATTGTCGAAAACAGAGTAAAACAGAGATTTGCACAATTCCCACTACTTAAATGTAGAATACATCAACCACAAGCTTCTTAACCTTAGACTGGCTCTTAATTCCTTACCGAATACTTCGGCAACCATCAGAAACTTCATTAACGCCGACGACGACACTAATTGCTTCGCTGATACCCTCAATTTCCCCCACTCACATCACTCATATACAACTTCTCATATACATACACAGAATCACACATAGACAACATTCGTTCTATCTCTGTCCTTTGTCTTACGTCAAGCGATGGGTGGTGGGACAAATAATCGGCGCAGTAGCGTAGATATCGTCCAACGATTCGTATCTTTTCGAATCACCACGAATTGTCACGTTCTATCATTCTATTTTTATTATCTCATCCACGTGTTTTGAAATAATAATAAAAGAGAAGGAAGAGAGAGAGAGAGAGAGAGAGAGAGAGAGAGAGAGAGAGAAGGAGGTGTGTGAAATATCGTAAAAATAAAATAATAAGTTGAACACTGAAAGAGAAATTTACGTACTTCTATGAATATTTTATATTTGAAGAGAATTTACGTACTTCTATGAATATTTTATATTTGTGCGTTTGAGATAGTTCTTGGTTTATTGGATTAAAAAAGAAGAGAATAGAACAAAATGGTGTGCAGGTAATTAAAAATAATGAATAGGAACGAATTTAAATCGTACGCGAAAACTTTATGCAAATTTGAATTAAAAAAATCTAAAATTGTGTATACAAAGAAAAAAAAAAGAAAAGAATAATATAAAAATATATTAATTATATATCATTCGCGCGTATAGAATCTTGTGAAAAGTTTTCATCGAGGAAAGAACGACAATTCGTGGGTAGACAGAAATCGATAAAGATCTAGCATAGATTTTCTTAAAATTCAAGAACATCCGAGACGATTTTTAGATAAGTCACAGCCATTGAGTTTCGAGTACGTCCTTAAATCACCTCACCTTTTTCCTACCTTTCCATCTCGTTTCCTATTATAAAACGCGCGTTTGTTCGACGTGTGCTTCTTCCTACATTTTCCATTGGTCTCTTGGATAAAACTTTCGATTTAGGATAATTCACATTGGCAAAATAGGAAGATAAACGTGATAACAGAGATATTCCGTAACGTGTCGTAAAATGGATATCTAATTGATGAATTAACAATGTTTTCAACAAAAGATTTGAATGATTTTGAAAAATCTAACCGAGTAAAATCAAAAAGATTTATTTAAAATTATTAAAGAAACAGTTTGTATTTTATCAATTATTTCATTCAAGTTTTCAATTCAAATACTATTGATTTTCTATGCTACCTTTGTACAGTCAATATACTGCAGCCTTTTAAATTTAAACTTATTATTTAAATCAACAAGAAGACATGTTTTTGATAAACAGATAAATATAACAATTTAATAAATTAAATATATTTGCCTAATTTCTTAAATTAATTTTATCAAATATATAAAATTAATTAAACTAAATAATATTTACTAATATAATTATTATTTCTATTTAAAAAAAAAAGAAATAATTATTATATTTTTT